TTTTATGCATGTTAGTTACTTAATGCATTTGATTTAATGGCTTTAAAAATGTCTACAAATATTTTCCTTATACCATGAATACAACAAGTGAGGGTGCGGCACACATCATAACCATTATATAACAAAAAAAATTCAAGGTAAAAATTCATTCAAAAATGTATTCTTTCATTAATAAAATAAAAACATACTGGGCATGACATACAGTTATGGGGATTCTTCTGTCATACTGTCTGCATGATTTGCATTTATAACATTCTTGAATTATTTAATAGATCCAGACAAAAATGAGCATCACATGATTAACGTTACTTTAAAGCACTGTATGTCTACAGCTTGTTCCCATTCTGCTAGGTAAACGTGTGTGCAGTGATATATTTGGAAACATGCATGAGCTGGAGTTTAGATGTATATGGAGTCAAGGACAGAAGCACCACTGGAACGTGCTTGTCACCTCAGCCGAGCACATAGTTTGCAGGACAAGGGTCTTACCTCCGCCTCTGATGGCTTGGCAGTGGTCAGCAGCTTCTCCAGCTCTGTGTGCATGGAGTTCTCATGCTGCAATCTCAGCTTCTCCTGAAACTCCACCATCCCTGCATTAGGGCTGTTTCTATACAGATCTACACACATGCAAACACAGGGAAAGAAAACATTGACAACAACTTTAAATGCCGTGATGACATTGCAACTGGTGATTATTGTCATTCACTATTTCGTTCCACCATGGTTTTTGGTTTTCTGAAGTGACTTGGGAGTATAATTTAAATAATTAATGTAAACAACCAGTCAAAAGTTTGGAACAATTAGAATGTCTTAGAATATTTTAAAATATTTAGAATTAGAATATTTTTTAAACAAATCTCTTATGTTCACCAAGGCTGCATTTATTTGATCAAAAACACAATAAATACAGTAATATTGTGAACTATTATTACTATTATTGAACTTTTATTATTATTAATAATTGAGCACCAATATTAATTGATAATTTACCAGCAAATCAGCATATTAGAATGATTTCTGATGGATCATGTGACACTGTAACAACGCGAAATTTCAGTTTTGCATCACAGGAATAAATTACATTCTAAAATATATTTAAATAGAAAATAGTTATTTTTTAATTAAATTATTAAATCAAATTAAAATTAAAAATTTAAATTAAATTGATTGCCATTTTAAATTGAAAATATCACAATATGACTGTTTACTGTATTTTTGTTTAAACAAATGCTGCCTTGGTGAGCATAAGAGACTTCTTTCAAAAAATAAAAATAAATAAATTATAATAATTATTCCAAAATTTTGACTGGTATACTGTATATCACCACAGTACTGATTTGTAAGGCTGAAGACACCACTTACCAGCAACAACATACATGTTTAAAAAAATAACTTCTGACAGCTCTCAGGTTTAAAAAACAGTATATAGGCTATCAATCCTGAATTGATTTCACCAGTCCAGAAACGTCCGAATCACCAACCTAATACCGTTGAACAGTTTCTACTTTTGCACTAGATGAAACTACAACTGTCTCAATGTAGAGGCAGCAGTCAAAAAGACGCTTTGAGAACCTCAGATCTACTATATAAAAAAGGAAAAACTACTAAGACTAGTGTTCAAAACCGTGCAACCAGCTCCCAGCATCCGAACTCGAACCGAACCCTCAGTACCGCCTCGGCTCTTTTGAAGTCAGATCAGATTTCAGACAGATTCATGCACAGGACATCCGATCAGAGCTTTGTAACGCACCGCTGAAGGAGATGCGCAGAGAGAGAAGCAGCAGAGCGCACGATTCTTTTAACAAAGTCCAGCACTGCCCACCCGTCACGTCACGGACTCGGGAAAAAGTCAACATGTCCAGAAACAGTGAACAACTCTTGTAGACACTGCATGTAATGTGCCAGGTGAATTATTAATCACCTCACATCGCTTTGTCACGTACAGCACCAACTGGACGCTGCTGACACCAGGTGCGTTATTTCTGTCATGCGCGTTGGACGTTCGCACGGAACGCGTTTTGAGTCCGTTTCTGGTATGGTGTCGGGGACTTAACCTTACTGTGGTTTACGAAATCAACACGGTCCATTAAAAACAACGAGTTTATGAGGCTACTTGAGGTTCGCATACAGTAGAACCCAGGGGCTTAGATTACGCGGGGGACACTAGAACCATAGACTGTATGAGAGTAGAACGCGTTCTTGGGTCCATTTGCTGTAACTGTGTGGATTTTTGATCCAATGACTCGAAGCTTTTAAATTTGGCCACTCAAAAGATTCGTTTACTAAACCTTTCAGTGGGTTAAATCGTTACTATATATGTGAATCCAATTAATTAAAAACACAGGGTTTAGATACTTTAAGGGGGTTCGCATGCAGTAGAAAGCGTTCTTGGGTCCATCTGCTGTAATTTGTGGGGATTTTGAATCACAATTTCACTGGGATTCATCCTAGCGATTCGAACGTGTGTCATTTCACTAAAACGCTCGTTTACCGACCCTTTGTGATGGTTAAATGGATCGTTAACTAAGTGAATCCTCATAATTTTTAAAAATTATTTCTGGTCGTCTGACCGTTCGTAATTCCACCCCTTTCTCTCCTTCCACTGAATCAAATGCAGAACGGACGAATTCTTCTTCAAAAAACATACCGTCTGCCGGTTTAAATGCTCGAGCTCTTTAACGCAGGAAGGATTCTGATTGGTTGTCAATATTTTAATAATTAATTAGCTAGTTTTTTTAATATATAGTTCCTGTGTGCTGTTTAGGATGCGGACTCTACTATTCTTTCACATTTAGAACAAATTTTAAAATCTTTATCGTTATAGTTGTCCTTGGTGTGGACAGACCTTTAGGCCAATGAACTATATTCAATTTAATTTAAGTTTATTTGTATAGCGCTTTTCACGATGCAAATCGTTGCCAAGTAGCTTTACAGAAAAAAATATTCTGTTATTATTATAAGTTGCAGCAAGCCAGCGGACCCCAAGCGTTAGCCATTTTACCACTTGATTGTTTTAGCCGCTTTGCAATTCTTCTAGCACTTTTGAACGCAATATTAAATGTCAAGTTTGAAAGCAGCACACAGTTAATGTATGAGGGGGAATTAGCTTTTTCTGCTTGAATACAGACCTAACTACCTGCTTCTGTCTGCCCAAAGTCACAGAAACCCAGGATTAAATCTGTCATGAACTTTGCCATACAAGAACTCCAAGGTCACCGACCCCTTGTAAGCAAACACAAGCGCACAGCGCGGGGTTTTGAGGGGTTGGGGAACTATCATACTCAAGTACATCTAGACAGCAGACAGGCTTGCTTGCTCGCTCATTTTTGACAAGCCATGCGAGGATACTCACGTCCACTGTAGCACACGCTTTCACAGGCGGAAGTGTCGCATGAAATCGGTGTGTGGGTATGATGATGTTTGTTCACGGACCAATCAGAGGAGGGGGCGGTCCGGCTCGACCAATCAAATACCAGCCAATTGCGTTCTATTCGTTGATGGCGTTCGACTGCGTAAATGTGTGAAACAGCGTCATCTCTTGGTTGAGGTTGTAAACAAATACGCTTTTATTTTTATTCCATACTTTCATATTTTTTACTTTTTAAACACTTTCGAGAGTGCGTTTAATTAGTCTATGGCAATTCACTTTTGAACGCAATATTAAATGTCAAGTTTGAAAGCAGCACACAGTTAATGTATGAGGGGGAATTAGCTTTTTCTGCTTGAATACAGACCTAACTACCTGCTTCTGTCTGCCCAAAGTCACAGAAACCCAGGATTAAATCTGTCATGAACTTTGCCATACAAGAACTCCAAGGTCACCGACCCCTTGTAAGCAAACACAAGCGCACAGCGCGGGGTTTTGAGGGGTTGGGGAACTATCATACTCAAGTACATCTAGACAGCAGACAGGCTTGCTTGCTCGCTCATTTTTGACAAGCCATGCGAGGATACTCACGTCCACTGTAGCACACGCTTTCACAGGCGGAAGTGTCGCATGAAATCGGTGTGTGGGTATGATGATGTTTGTTCACGGACCAATCAGAGGAGGGGGCGGTCCGGCTCGACCAATCAAATACCAGCCAATTGCGTTCTATTCGTTGATGGCGTTCGACTGCGTAAATGTGTGAAACAGCGTCATCTCTTGGTTGAGGTTGTAAACAAATACGCTTTTATTTTTATTCCATACTTTCATATTTTTTACCTTTTAAACAATCGAGAGTGCGTTTAATTAGTCTATGGCAATTATACAGGTTTATATGAAAGCCCCTTTTCGCTACATAAGAAAAAAAATCATACTTTGATAAATCATAATTTACCAGTCATAATTATAACTAAAAAAATTGGAGTTAGGACATGCTAGGTTATATTTACGAGATGGAAAAAGTCGAAATGCACATAAGCGGTAGAAATTATGCCATAAAAGACGAAGTTAGCAAAACATGTCATAATTTCGATGGTCATTGCATTGTTCTAACCTTTTGTTATAATTATGACCGTTATAATCACATCTCACAGACTTAACAAATCATTTCCCAGTACTTCTTTATTACTATATAAGTATTACAAAATATTTACCATATTTTATATTCAGGCTTCTAGGCTTTCAAATAATACGTTTAAAATTCCAGGATATTCAATAAGTTAGCAAAACATGTCATAATTTCGATGGTCATTGCATTGTTCTAACCTTTTGTTATAATTATGACCGTTATAATCACATCTCACAGACTTAACAAATCATTTCCCAGTACTTCTTTATTACTAGATAAGTATTACAAAATATTTACCATATTTTATATTCAGGCTTCTAGGCTTTCAAATAATAAGTTTAAAATTCCAGGATATTCAATGTTTTTCTTCCAAGTAAACAGGCCTGGCATGCTGTCTACAATGAAGGATCTTCATACCTTTAGGTAAATAAATTCACATCTACAGAATATCTGTGTATTCAGAGCTGGAGATGAGATGGGTATGTCAACATAATCCAAATACAAACATTTATTTTCCACATGGTCTTTTATTGTTGTATGACAGATGATCATTATTTTGGTCAGGACAACTATGTGCGTAACGGTTTTAATTGGAAATGTTCTTCAGGTGTTGCCCCAGACACTCTAAGCAGAGGAAGTTACATTGCAAATGTTTCTTGTGAAGTAACGCACACACGCATACGTTAAGAGGCATAAATATCCACACACGCACACACGGTCAGCTATGATATCTACAGGACTTTACAGTCGGGGATTTGGGGACTTTGAAGAGTCTAACGGCTGCCGCATTGTTGTGGAGACATCAAGTCACGCTCCAAGGAAGGTGAGTGCTGTGTCTCTCTCCTCTACCAGCTCAGCGGCGGTGCCATCCATCTTACCGCGGGAGAAATCATTGATGGCAAGTCCGTCAACCACCTTCCAGGTCTTGTTCTGTTGGGGTGGAAATTATTAGTACTGACATGGAAACGACATCTAAACTACTTCCAAGTGCTTTCTTTTATTCATGATTTAATTTCAGTGTTTTTTTAGGAACTTAGAGATGAAGACAAACCTTGATCATAACAGGGAAGGAGTACATGAGGTCATTAGGAACTCCATAGGAATTACCAGTGGAGTAGATACCCATAGACACCCACTCACCCTGCTCAGAGACAGAAAGAGAATTATTTAGCATTAACCCGGTAAACCTGACATATGAAATAATAGTTAGAAAAATCTAATTTGTTGAAATTTTTTACAAAACTAAAAGGCCTTTTTCTTGCTAAAAAAGTATAAACTATCAATCTGAGGTACATTGTGTACAGCAGATTTTCAGCAAAGTGTTAATCAAGCTGATTTCGAGGCCTTCGAAATTTGACGAAGTATTTTTGACAAAGAAAAAACGAGAAATGTTTTAGTCTTCCACTCTACTTTAAACCAGAATCTAACAGACCAGACACTCAATGAATCTCTAAAGGGTTCATGTGGTGCAAACTCACATCTGGAGTGCCGAACCAGATGTCCCTCATGTGGTCACAGATGGCTTTGGCAGCAGACATTGCACTGGAGAGCTTCCTGGCCTTGATGACAGCTGCACCTCTCTGCTGCACAGTCTGGTGTACAACGAAATTAAAAGAAATGCAGATTGGTAAATTAAAACAATAAGCTACAAAAGGTCATGTGTAAAGCTGTGGTCATATCAGGGCAATTAGAGCAATACAGTGAAATTTTGTGGGTAAAAAAAGGTCCATTGTCTACTGTCAATAGCGTAGAGATGAATGAGGCACAGCTCACACAGAAATCACTTTCAAAGCAAGCAGCTTTCTGTTGGTAAATGTGGTGAATCTGATTTAGCGGGAAAACGTTTGCCTTCACGCAAAATTCTAGATTGTGCAGATTTCCATGGAAACTTGCCTAACAATGATAAATGTGACCGCACTTTAACAGTGATTTTACCACAAATCTTTGCATTGCGGCATAAAACAATCTTTAGCAAGAGTTCAATTTATTATACATAATAATAATAATAAATTGTTGCAAATCAGTTGTTTATGGTTGCTAAGAAATTAATCAAAACTTGATGCATTAATATTAGGTGCATTCGTCAGCTTTTTTCAGAAGCTTTAAACATGCATTAGAATTTAATGGAGGAACTATCCATTTTATAATAACATTATAAGCCCTGCTGAGGGCAAATGTGCCAAGTAATTTCATTGTTCTTTCCTTGGGCATGATTAAATCACAATTAAACTTATTTAAAAAATGGGATTAAATGAACAGCAAACTGAGACGTATGCTTCGTCTAATTTTCTCTTGCAAAAAAACGCCTTTTTATCTCAGTTTAGAAACTCTACAGGTTCAGATGTCAGACTCACGCTGATAAAGTCGCCCTTCAGCCAGCTTTCGTCATTCACTGCGTCAAAACCTGACATCTCCTTCCCATGATTGTTCACGATAGCGTGGTGCACATCTGGGTACTGAGTTGAGGAGTGATTTCCCCAGATAATCACATTCTTCACACTGTCAGAGGGCACACCGACACGTATCGCCACCTACAGGCATGGAGGAACACCGCAGATGAGCGAAGCACTCCTATGTGTAATATGTGCCAACTATGTCACCTGCAGAGAGAGCTAACAGTCCCTCTAAAAGTAGGTCACTGTATTGGTCTATGAACTACTCCAGAGTACATAACTAGATATGGCTGCTCTAGAACTAAGCTAGATCTGGATGATGGACGATAAAAAAAGCTTGGTTACCCGCAGCTCTGGAAAGCACAAAGACTGAGTTAGAGAACTTCAATAAAGCAGAATAAGAAGTGAAGGTGAATGAGGCGGTGGGGTTCGGACCTGAGAGCGGGCCCTGTTATGGTCCAGACGGGTCAGGCAGGAGAAGTTCTCCTTAGGAATAGAGGGAGCTGATTTGGAGGCGATCAAACAGTTGGTGTTGGCTGGGTTTCCCACAACTAGCACCTATGAAAGCAAAGGAAAAGTGAACGGCAGAACAACAAACACCAAAAACTGACCAGTGATTGATTCGGCCTGTTTTGAACCATCGCAGTGTCGTCTAAATCAAAAGCCGGAGGCTAGAAAACTCATGAAAATCAGAAATCAATTGCACACAAAACTGATTCAGGCTGCATTATTTGTTGCAATCTTGTACCTTGACGGTCTTCTTGGCGTTCTTCTCCAGTGCTTCACCTTGGGTTTTGAAAATGGCCACGTTAGCCTTCAGTAGGTCCTTCCTCTCCATGCCCTCTTTTCTGGGCATAGAGCCCACCAAGATGGCAGCGTCAAGATCCTTGAAGCCCACCTCAACCTTATCAGTGGGAATCACCTCTGTAAAGGAGTTAGAGAGAAAAACGAAGGATACAGAAGACTTATTTCACAGTAATTTTTAGGCCAACAAATTTCCAAAGCAAGTTCATTATTACTGCTTATTCAACAATTTCCAACTATTATAGCAAATTATTTTATTTCAAAAATATTTTATTATATATTATAATTTGTATTTTTGATACAAAATATTTAGCTAAATAAAGTATATTTTATTTTTAGCTAAATACTTTTTTTTTTTAACTATTAAATGAAATAAAATCTTGTAGAATTAAAAAAATCCTCATTGCTTATAAACAAGTTATTCTTTATACTGCAACTTTTTTCTAGTGTTCAAGGAAACACAACTTTTGAGCCTCAAGACTATTTCAGTTGAGCAAATGCCTGTGACTGAATGATAAAACTCACATAATCTGCACATGCAAACATTTTAGCATCAGTATTGGGAAATACGGCCTCATTATGTTTGTACCTAGACTATTATTCCTCAGGAGTTTATGCTGACATTATCTCTTGACACTTTCATCACCCATCACCATAAATCATTTATCAGGCTGCCGATATTTCCTGAAGTGGCTCATTTCATTGATAATCTTTAGAATGAGATTTAGTACAGAACTATTTATCAGACTGGACTTCAACCAAAGCAACAACTTCTGAGACAGAACTTGTTCTTTGGCCTCCTCCCCTCCGCCTCCCATTGTTGTGGCACCATCACGTTTCTCATTGGTCCGTGACTATCCTACAGCATGAGCCAATAAGATCATTCTGCGCCGGTTACACCTCCCAACTCCTCAAATACAGTGTAGCACATGCTATTTTCTGCTGCAGATCTCTTCTGCAGAGTCATGCTTGCTCTTCTGCATTTTAATACATTCCAGATGCTGGCTATAAATAAACCAAGTTGCAGTACAAAGAGACGGTGGCAGTCAAACTGTCAATTAAGAGTCCAGTGAAAACTGTTCCACTACCACTCTTCCTCTACCTGATGTCCTATTATAATCATTCACTGTGATAAGGTCTAAACTGATTAAATCAAGAGAAGTAACCCTCACCCCTCAGAAGTGGAAGAGCACAATCCTGCAGCTCCATGACGACCCCATCCAGCACAGGCAGCATGGGAGTGATATCCAGAAGCACCAAGATGATTGGCTGACAGAGGAGACAAACATCAAGCATGTTACACTGCATCAAGCACAGACTGCAAAACATGTTCGGAATAGAATATTTGCATTATAACATATATACTTTAGGCCAATGGTTCTCAATTCCAGTCCTCGCGTACCACTGCTCTGCACATTTTGTATGTTCCTCTTATCACTTCAGACGTTTGTTCTATTCTACCGTCAGTGGCCTGCGAAGTGGACATCACAGGGAGCGTATATGTTCCATTCAAAGGGCATTAAAGTGTGTGAGACGTGAATTTAAATTGTATTTATTTATAAAGGTATATGATGTCACACTGCTCTAGTAAATTTCGTCTGTGTGTGAAGATGCTGCAGGCCGTGGCGTAGCGCAAATCCGTGAATGAATGTTCCGAAGTGAAGTAAACTTCAACAGATCTCCCATGCTCAGGGAGTAAGGACCAAAGAACACTCTGTAGGGACCATGATAATCGGAACACAGTTCATGCATGGAGCTCTCTTCTAATGAGCTGGTTATCTGAATCAGAGACATGCAAAATATGCAGAGCGGGGGGTCGCGAGGACTGGAATTGAGAACTGCTGCTTTAGACCATAGACATACAATGATACACATTTAATACAGTATTACAATGCGTACATGTCCTCGTATAGTGGATCCAGTATAGGTAAATGCACATTTTGAAAGGCGTAGTATATAGTGGTGGTCAACCAATATGGCTGATGTTGATAGCAATAACTAGAGAGCAAGACAGCCAATATAATGCAATATATGATATAGGCTAACATATCTGAATTAAGCTATTGAGCTGTACATGTATATATTTTTCTATAAACACTACCAACTTTTTTTTTTTTTTTACACAATATTTACTCAAGACTCAAGAACACTTTAATATTGGCTATTGATAAGCACCATAAATTTTATGCATAAATAAATGTATAAATAAAAAAGTAAATGCAACCATCTAAATCTCAAAACCTCTAGCAATATTATTGCTGGGGTTTTTTTTGTGTTATTAAAATATTCAGAATGTTTCAGCTAACAAAAATATGTTCTAAGAACGCTTTCCTAACATTCCCATTAAATTATAAAAACATTATTTTTTGAAGGGTCTATGAATGCACAAAATGCCCAGTTTTTAAAATGTTTTAAAAGCATAAACGAATGACCATTTGATTTAATCATTTTACAAACACTATGGGAATGTTACTTTTGTATGTTCCTGAACGTTCTGAAACATCTGGCAACATTTAAAAAAAAAAAGTTAGATGAATGTCCAACTAAAACTTTTTAGAAGACAAATGTTCCATGAACGACGTATAAATAACGTTTTTGTTCTAACATTTTAAGAATGTTATTAAAGACCAGAAAACTTTCTATTAACATTACTGGAAGAACGTTCGTTCATAACTTTGACTGAACATTACCAGAACGTTAACCAGCGTTCTCAGAACGTTCCCTGGGAATAGGCCGTTAATCATTGCTTCAATTGCATTGTATTATCGGTTATCAGAACATTAATTTGAATCGGCCGGTTTCAAACAATAATCTCAAAATGACTAAATATCGTTATTGTTACATGCATACATGCTCATATATTATATACTGCAGAAACAGAACATAGACATGCATCACAGAGGGACCAAGAGAGTCGCATATTTTAATCACACATTCTTATATAACACAAGAGTATAGTTTAAAATCCAGTTCCCTCCAGTGTCCCGTTACGTAATAACACAGCCAGTCTCTGTCTCACCTGGTCCTTGCCGAACACATCTCCTTTAGCGATGCTGTAGAGCAGAGAATAAGCGATCTGTCCGGCGGCGCCAGTCACCAGCACACGGATCGGTTCGGCCTGAAATAAAACACAGTCACTGGCGTCAATAACATGACCTATTTCTGTGAACAAAGGCCTAGCGATCTGGAATGAGCGTAGTAACGAATTATATCAGAAGATTTGATCATTTGCACATAATAGTCTGAGTGAATGGGAGTTCATTTCTGTGTATCTCCTCAAATAATGAGTGCGACGCGACGCACTGTAACGATGGTAACGTCACTACGCTCCGAGACTGTAACTTCGACGCAAATGTCCGTCTCGAAGTATTTCTAATCTGACAGAATGGCTACAAAATAGTGTCAATGAGTAACTTACAAAAGATGCCACCTCAGACACCCACTCCACAAACGCGGAAATGGCCGTTAAACGTTGATACAAACAGCTTCAAAATAATTCGATATGAATCGTTAGGTGGTTCGTGACCACAGATTTCACATTAAAGCAGATTTCTTAAAGTAAATCTAATCTAAAGGCGTTCGGATTAAATTAGCCCGTCATGTTGTGCACAAAACGTTGCGAATTTGAGTTACGCTAAAATACTGTGCAGGACTAAAATGGAGGGATGAGAATCTCACCATGTTTCAGGTCTGATTGTGCAGGTTGAGATGTGCGCCAAAGATGTGCTGCTCTGCCTCTCAGACTGCACGGACGGAGGGGTCACCTCTATTCTTATATGGAAATGTCATACAGGCACATAAATGCTGTACACTGGGATATGTAGTTGATATTGCTGCTTTACTCCACCAATCAGCTCACAGAAAGAACTCAATTTCCCATGAGCGCCCGCGCTGACGACCTCCCATCATACACGCCCCCTCAACTTCAATGCCACATATATTGAGATGGTCCTCACTGCAGAACACAAGATCCAGGGGTGAGGTTGGATCCAGATCCAACTCCTCCCACCTTACATATACCTAAACCTACCCGTCTCCACCCCCTGATCCCTAAACCCACCCATCTCCACCCCCTAGATGTGGATCCAACCCCGCCCCCTGGATCTTTGTTCTGCAGTGAGGGGCTACTGCATATATTCGCAAAAGAATTGAAGTATTGCAAACGAAAATGGAAGTATTGAGAAAAAATAAATGTGCTTTTTGCAAACAACAATAAAGAACTGCAAAATATAAATGAAGTACTGTTGGAAATAAATAAGTTTTGCAAATAAATATAAATGAAACAGAGCAAAAGCAATGATTTTGCAACACATACTTTCCATGGCCATAGCTTTACTTTACTTTTACTTTTAGTCATTTAGCAGACGTTTTTATCCAAAGCGACTTACAAATAAGAAAAAGTAATTAAAACTAAAAGCTAAAACTCTATAAATACTATATATATACACATTTAAGAAAGTAAAATAAATTAAATAAAAATGACAAATGCATACAACAACATTTCAAAACTAAAACATTTAAATGAAAACAAAAAAATAAAGCTAAAAACAATTCAAAAATATTAAAAGAACAAAAGGTATGAGTATAATAATGATTCTAACATAACACTAAGCCAAACACCAAAAAACAACTACATATGTGTATGTACAGCCACACACATATACATATACATGTACATATATATAAATACATTATATATATATATATTATTTCATTTCCATTTTGTATGTTGAAGTACTGAAATAACTCAAATTAAATAAAAGTAAAACTTAATAAAAAGCCTATATAGACATAATAAAAAAACTAATAAAATGACAACATTACTACAACTGTAACTAAAACTAAAATAGATAACTAATACAAATCAAAGTACATTAGTTCATCAGTAATCCTAAAAAAATAACACTGAGGCAAACACACATGCTAAAATAACAACAACTTACTGACACATAGTAAGAAATAGTTTATAAAAACCTGAAACAGAAGTGGAAAGAGGAGAGATAAAAAGCGATACTTATGTCCTTTGCCGGTGTCGTCGCACGGTAGAGTCGATGGTCTTTACACTCTTCAGTCGACCGCTTCCGTGGTAAACTAAGCTTCTTTTTAATTAGTTTAACAAAACTCAAATTGAGTTCAGCTGGACACACTTTCCTGTTTATCCCAACAAATGGCCAAGCAAAGCGCACGACACTGACAAGGTACGCGATACAGTACGAGACCAAACGCCATTTCAGCACGTCTCCACAGTAAACAAAACAAGCGTTTCCTCGCAACGACAACTGCGCTAAACACTGAGACAAGAAATAAATACACATAGCTAATAATTTATTTGCAAAGCTGCTTTTATTTTGCGTTTCAATCAAGTGTGAGCTCGCGATACCATTTTCCCCTTTGCGCTTCATGTTTCTGCTCGTTTCACTTTCTGGCCGGCTGCTCTCGAAACGCTATCGCGGTACTTTGATGCCACACGTGACAGTGACGTGGCGTCGGCGCCGGTTCAAGTCGGACAAAATTTCTAACTGGCATGCACTGCTTCAAGTCAGCCGCCGATCGGTTTGCGCGGCGCCGCATCAAGTCGAACGCACCTATTGTTTTGACATGGGGGTGGAGTCAAGGGACTGGGGCGTGTACAACAGGCCTGGACACGCCTCCCTGGCGTCATCGGCCTGAGATGCAGATCACAACTGATGAAGGCACCGTCGTTGGGCAGAGGCATGCAGGTGGATCGTTTCCTTTTATTCACTATAACATTAAAACATGCATGGTTTCGTTTTATTAATTATGTGTATTAACAGCATTTCATTTACATTTATATTTATATTTTGCAATTCTTTATTTTTGTTTGCAAAACTTATTGTCTCACAATACTTCATTTATATTTTGCTAAATTTTTTTTTTTTTGTTTGCAAAACTTTTTTTTTCTCGCAATACTTCATTTTCTTTTGCAATTCTTTATTTTTGTTTGCAAAAAGCACATTTATGTTTTCTCAATACTTTCATTTTTTTGTTTGCAAAACTTTATTTTCTTTTGCAATACTTCAATTCCTTTGCAAATAGCCTATATGTGGCATTGAATTGACTCCATACATAACGCATTACAAGCATATTAAGGTCGAGTTTTGAATCTCCCATTGAGCTATGGTGATAAATTTGGGTCCTTGGTTGGTTTATGAACACAAATAGCCAACTGAAACAGATTTGGTAAAGTTATGCCATTTGAATGAACCGACAAACAGAAGAAGCATATAATTTGTAATGCACATTTTTGCACTGCATTTCAAAATAGAAGCATTTTTATCATACTATACTTTGGATCCTTATTGACATATACGCTCAGTTCTGAAATCATGCTCATGCACTCACTCAAGCTCCCGTTCTGTCAGCACAGCCACAATTCAGCCTGAAACATCTGCACATCTATACACAGAATCTCATGTAGCGTATGACGGCAAAATGTAATCATGTTCTAAAGATATTTCACTTTCAAGTATCAATTCATGACCTCCACTGTCCTTGATTGAAAATGTCCTTTCTGGCTAAACAGGAAACATGTAAGACCACGTGCTTTTCCTAAAGAGATCAGTGAGGTCAAATAGATCATGTGCTTTCACTTCTGTAGTGCGCTTTGCTGTGTCTGCATGTTTTTAACCCTATACTGTATTATATTCGATGCATGAATTTCTCCTCTAAAGGCCACAATCTACTGCATGCCTTCTGTTGTCTGATTGATGGTTAATTTTTCATAATAAAAGGTATTTCGGTATAATTTTAAAAACGTCCCCTTTCAGGTTGTGGTTCATGTGTTTTTTGCTGTGAAATTTGTAATTATTTTTATAAACCAAACATAAGAAAAACATTAGTAATATTTCAAGATGAACATTTACTTGACTGAAGCAATTTATAGGTTGACTAGATTAGATTATCTAGTCATCCTTTTTCTTTTTTTTAAAAATCATGTTTAATTACAAATTTAAATTATGATACATCTGGAATGTTATATTTGTACATCTCTCAATCATCATTGCATTGAATTATATGTTTTGTCCCCAACAATAAAAACTACAGCTTTGATCATAAAACTAAGCAATTAAATATCATCTTACTATTGAAAGATATAGAATGACAACTGATATTTCTAGAATTTTAAGTAGTCTGCTATATTGTTATAAAGATCTACATTGATTTACAAATACAAAACTTAAAACTCTAATTTTTTTTTTTAGATTTTCACTTAGTTTCACTTAAAATACATACACATTTTTCGGACTATTATTTTCAGGGTATTATTTTCAGCTTTACAGGGTTAAATCCTGGGTTTATGATACCTTGCAAATGTAGTGTTAACTCCAAATTGTGGTGATGAAGGTAAAGGGGAGATCAAGGCTTGTTGTCACAAGAGCTATATCTCAGTATTATGACAATTTTCGACAATAATTTGTTACCATTTTTACAATTTTGCCGAAAAGCAAATTAAATATTTATTGGCAGGTTCCCATTGTGATCTAACTGAATCTCATAACTTACTCTAAATAATGTCTATATAATGTGACAACATTCCCCAACTTTAGAGTATGTTGTCACATGTGAAACAGACTTTAAAAATAAACATAAACTGAGAAATATTCTCTGAAATATACTGTGCTACTAACCCTGACAAAAGTTTGCCCAATGTGAAAACAGAGCAAGATAACCCATGATTACACTAACTCAGGATTAAAAATGACCCTGGGTTAACAATTCCAAGTGTTAAACGCCTCTAATGGGCTTGGATCTGTTCCACGACCCCTTCTCCTTCAAGCTAAATGATGCATTATACTATCATAGCACCAGAACAGATTCCCTCTGCATTTCACTGGTGTGATCAGCTGCAGCATTGGTGTGCTCAATCAAAACGCATAGCCTTTTAGACTAAAGCATTACAGATCAGCCACAGCTTGATGCAGATAGTTGCTCCTGTTCAGGACGGAGGCACTTCAGCCAAGTTAACATTACATAGCATGCTGTTGGAAGGGTGGAGATCCAGACCGGAGAGAGTGCTATCCATGGTGCTGGACTCTGCTTGCCAAAGCATCCTAAATTAATCATCAGAGGTCGCTGCCCTCCCGCACTACTAGGTTTTCAAGGCGTACATAATGAATGAGACTAATCATTCAACCAATCCCTGCTTAGTAACTATGTTTTTGAATATACTAGCTGGTTTCTAGGTCCAAGATGGTTTTTACCTAGTCTAGCATGGCAATTGACTGGTTTACTAGTTCCTAAAACTAGCCTGATCCCCTTGAGTTGGTATGATTAGCTATATGTTGCTGGTTTAGACCAGCCTGAACAAACCTAATGACCACTTTGGACCAGGAAAATACTAGTTTGGCTACCTTGGACCAGCTATAAACCAGCTATCACATTCCAAAACAGAAACCATCTTAAGATGGATTTTCCAGCATGAAATAACTTGCTTTATAAATGGAAACTATCAGATATATGGCGAATTGTACACTAGCATGCAAGGTAGGGATAAATCCTCAGATACAGCTCCGATATTTTACCGCATACTGACTGTTTTTAAAGAAAAATCGTAGGTTCGGTGCATTCATGCTGCATCTTACGCCTCCGTTGTCAAAGAGAGGCGTCTTACCTGCGCCGAAGCCGTGCGGGACACCAAGTACATAGCCGACAACAGGGTCAACATTTTCAAGCAGTTCGTCCCTCGAAGTGTCCGATGGAGTGTGTTTTTTCCCCCAGAACGCAGAAGTGGGTGTTTTGGGACGCGTTCGGACGCAGAGCGGCGTTCGCGGTAACCTGAGCTCAAAGGCGCGAGATAGAGATACAAGAGCCGCTTCCCTCGTGCGCGTGCTGTGTTTTCACCGTCACCCTTCCGCACCTAATGAGCTTTGGGAGACAAAAATAGCTCGACATCGAGTAATCTTTCCGCCATTTCTGATCACACGCCTAAATTAATGAGGTAGTGATCGGGGCTGCGAAATTTGGGGGTGACGTCAGTGATCGAGAGATACTGCGACGCTGAGCTGAGTGAATCAAAACATCTCGAGCAGGACATGATGCGGAATTTCCAGATGAGGGGACACACATTGACAGGGACAAGTGCTTTGGTCGTCTAACATACATTCTAACAATGGCATGCTAGGCATTTCTTTGTTGTTTGTTAATTTATTTATGAAAGAATGCCGTCAGATAGGCCAGTCCATTGCAGTACATTCTCATGTCCACATCATAGTTCACCCAAAATCTGTACAACTTTCTTCTGTGGAACACATAATAATATATTTCGAAGAGGCCCACTGTATGACGTCATAAAAAAAACCTTATTTCATATTTCACATAAAAATAGAAGGTAGGTTTGGAACGACATGAGGATACGTAATGATGACAAAATTTCAATTTTTGGGTGAATTATCTTTAAAATAATGCATAAGATATTAAACTCATATTAAACTCAAATAAAATCATGATTTTAAACCATAGTTAGTCATCTGTGGTCGCAATATTACAATTAGCCTAACACGGGTGAATTTTTTACTACTAGCCTAAATTACTTTTAACTAATAAGTTACTAATAAATGTCCTCTTTTTCCTTGATCTAGTCAAAATGTTTAATAAAAGACATGTTTTTCTGGCAATGAAGGAAGATTGTTTTCCCTTGAGTCCTCAATATAACTTTTCAGTTTTGTTTGCAATAACCTAAAAAACAATAAGTAAAATGGATTTTTCTTTTGCAAGTTTTTGCGCTCAATGAAATTTCATACTTGGAATTAAGAAAAAAAAAAATTTGTTAAATAAGTATTTAGCCTACTACTTGTCTTTTCTCACTGCAAACATTAGAACAGCTACTGTATGTTCTTTGAATGAAACAATGAACTCCATTCATATAACCATAAACAAACTTTTCAATGGGAACCACAAAAACTTCAACAACAGAAACTCTTTTAAACACCCAACCTAACTGAACATTGAACACTAACAGGTCTTTGCCTTTGCTAAAAATTACACTTAATTTCAACACTTATTTCCAACTATGAAAAACGTGCCGGGAACGAAAATAATTATTCATGTAGTCCCAACACAAATGATTTAGGAAACTTTAAAGGGGTCATATGATGCTGCTAAAAAGAACATTATTTTGTGTATTTGGCGTAATGAAATGAGTTTATGCGGTTTAAAGTAAAAGAAACACATTATTTTCCACATACTGTACATTAAGTTATGCTTTCTTTCTTTGCGTGAACATTTGGGCGGCTTTATGCAAATCTTCCCACATAGTGAGGTAGGTATGTGGGGGCGTGTTCGAACGAGCCGTTTTAGGTAGGTGTGGCTAACTCTTAACTTTTATAAAGAATATCTCTTTGGATTTGAGACTTTAGTCTTTGCAACTTTACAGATCTTCTTTATGCACCAAGAGCTTGTAACACTCTAAAGAGAAAGGAAAAAATGAAATCGCATCATATGACCCCTTTAATTTTACTAGTTACTTAAAGCTGCAGTCCGTAACTTTTGGCGCTCTAGCTGTTAATAAACAGAACTGCATGCGTCTTGCGGAAGAACATTGTATAGCCGGAGCTACTTCTCTCGGTTTATGTCTATGGCGAATCACGCAGGTATGTGTTACTCCGCAGCGGTACTTACCCGAACCAGTCTAAAATAGTCCGAATATAAACACGTATTATAGGTGTACCGTAGTGATCAAGCACAAGCCAAAAACACGGAAAATGGATTCATGGTGTACTTGCTTATTATATAAATTTTGTAAATTTTGAACACAAAAAAGTTACGGACTGCAGCTTTAATGACATGATCACCTGAATGTGCGGCAAAACCATATAGCAATAGCATACTCGCATACTAATCTTATTGATGCCGCAGTAAATAGTATGCAAATACTCATTTTCAAAAATGTGGCATATGCAATAAAGAACAGTGTGCCAGTATTGCAGACAGTATGGTCTGTTGTAGTCTTGATAATTCTGGCATATGTATAGGTAAATGTATATGCATAAATTTGCAATTTGTACATACCATATATACTACAGCAATAGTATATGATACTATGACCATTGATGTGTGCAATAGTTGGCCACACGATGGAGGCAAAGTGCCTTTCTCAAAGTCAGGCAGAGTTCTGCTGCACTGCTTACATCCCACAGAAGAGGGCAGTATAGAGTGGTCATAAACGTATTTGTGAGTCAAGTAAACTTCTTAATCATCTATAAGAGCGGCCACTTCTGTTTTACAGTAGGAATAACCCTAAGTTGTTCTCAGGCCTGCTTTCAACACTTGCCATTCGAAACACTGTCACTTCACAGCCAAACAAACTTCTCTGAGCATTTTAAGCATGCAATGTCAACAGCTCATTGAATCAGTCTGCCTGAGAAGAGAGACAGCATTCCTCACTCAGCACATCATTGACAATCATCTTATGCTTGATTAAACAGCCAAGAGCCATTTTACACAAGTCATAACCTGACCTCCCAACACACTACCCCACTTTACACATTCACAGTACACCTTATTATCACCTGTCAGGAGTGTGAACTATGAGCCATTTTTATGAGCGTCGTCATTTTATTTTATTTTTGTGGATAGTATAGAACAAAACTTTTTTTTCTGCAATGATTGACAGTTTGAAGAAACGGAGAAGGCCATCACTCATTCAGAGCCCGAGACAACTCTCCTCTCTCTTGTTTCTCTTCTTCTGTCAGTCAGTGATAAATGGCCAGAAGAGAATTGAAAGAGCTATTTTCAATAGTTAATGGGTGTGAGTGACTTGTTCCTGTCCTCTCTCTGTAATTACACTAGAAGTGACAGAGGCTGTCAGTACTAGATTAGAGCACCGAGGCACGATGGGAATGTAGTTTTACTTGCATATTGTAAGAATTAAATTTTTATAGTTTAAGTTTTCATTTTAATTTTACTTTAAGTTTTAGTAATTTTGTTATATAAATTTTGTTATATACAAAGACAACGGCTTTGTCATTTTTAATAGTTTTTAAAAATATTTCTATTTAGCTTTATTTTTATTTCAGTTTTAGTCATTTTAGCACTTCAACTAATAACTTTAGATTTTTTTATTTTTATTTCATTTTAGCTTTATTTTTATTTCAGTTTTAGTTTAGTACTTCAGCTTATAACTTTATAATTTCAGCTTATTTTATTTCAGTTAGTTGCCAAGGCAGAATTTCATATTTGTAAGTTTTTCGTCTAATATTTATATTTTATTTAATCTTTATTCTAACAACAACAATGAATTTTAATAGTTTTAGTTAACAATAACAAAGAACACATATAATATTAGTTGCATGCCGTTATTAGTGACCACATATGTAAAAAAAAAAAAAAAGAATCATGTGCTATATTTCAAGTCTTCTGACACTATATGATGCTTTTTGAAAGGAACAAACTTATATTTGAGTTATTCACTGAATAGAAAATTCTCAAGAAAATAGCTGTGTAAACCTTCTTCAGAGCATCTTCTTTTGTGTTTTATGGAAAAAAATAACAGAATATGGGTTTGGAACAACATGAGGGTGAAAACAGTTTTTAGCTTCCTAATCCTTTAAAGCCGATCATTCTCATGATTACGACATCTTTGCGAAACAGCTTGTGAGATTCAAATGCAACAAAATGGAATTTTGGATTTATCACAATGGAATCCATTCATCTGGTTCTCTGAAGCTCCTCCTCGTGTGTTATTATGGTCAGAATGTGTTGCTGTAGGAGGACAGTGGAGAACGGTGGGCATTCTATCCTTGACACACACTTGAACCCTGAGCTTGTGATCAGAGCTGTGATTGGTGGGTTTATCTGGAGCTCTGCATGAGCGCGAATAGCTGCCTCACGAGCTCTACGTGAGCTGTTTGCGCCGTGACCCGATGACACTCGGTGTCTTGAACTTACACAGGACTGCGCAACTTTTCATCTCTCATTCTTCAGCCCTGCTGTGTCCTGCTGGTTGAAAACACAACGGCTTTGTTCAAAACCAAATCTTGCTGTCTACATAGGCGGCTTCCTCCTAAGGCAGCGTTCTAACTGAAATGGAACCTCATAAAATCTCATTTAGTATATTTATTGGCATCTATAGTTCCTTGAGGAACCTTGAACATCCATGGAACCTTTCCATTCCACAAAAGGTTCTTTATAGTGAAAAGAGGTTCTTTAAATCTTCTTCACACTTGCTTGTTTACGCTAGTTTAACATGGTGCTTTTACATGCTTTAACATCACTTTTACTCAAGAGTTCATTGAAAGGTAATATGTGCGATCAGTATCTTAATACGGGTAACGCACAAACATTCCGACAGGGATTAACAAACAGAAGCGGGGTTGCTATCTTCATCCGGATTATCGTAGACCAGTTGATAAAACCGATATGAGATGCTCATGGAACACAGAAACAATCGTTCCCGGTTTTGTTTGGGATTGGATGTTTTCGATAGTGCATCAGACACAAATGCTCTCAGACGTCTCGTCGTCTCAACGACAATGTTGAAATTCCCGCATTTACCTCTCATGACACGAAGATTATGAAGGTTAATGTGAAAAAGTCAAATTTGAAGAACAAAACAGTTTTTTGCACATCTAATAGCACCAAATGCAAGTGTCTGTGTATAATATTATAATATAATATAATATAATATAATATATAATTGGGGTCAGTAGAAGTTAAAACTTTCATTCAGCAAGGATGCATTGAATTGATCAAAAGTGGCAGTAAAGACATTTATGGTGTTACAAAAGATTTCTATTTGAATTAAATTCTGTTCTTTTACATTTTTTATTCATCAAAGAATCCTGTAATTTTTCATCCTCAAGCAAAAATTCCAGATCACACAGATTTGTATCGAAATGACTGTATTTCGCCTGTGAAAATTTGTTTGTATCCATGAAGGGTAGCAAGATTGAATATTTAAAGTCCCCATGAAAGTTTTTTGGGTGTTAGTATCAGTATGTTAAGTCTTAAGGTTATCTATAAGGCA